TATCTATCTATCTATCTATCTATCTATCTATCTATCTATCTATCTATATTTGTGTAGTATATGCTGCTACAGTATTTGATTTGTCTGGCTCGAAAGTGTCTGTGACTCAGAGGTCAGCATCAAAGCTGAGCTCTCTGCTGTTTGCTATAGCATCAGGCAGCACTCTGATCTATTCTGTAGCACTACAAGGATCACACGATGTGTTTGAGCCACAGTGGAGCACTCATATGTCATGTTTACTTTGAAAGAAACAACATTAAATGCAGTCTCGGCTCTCATCCTTTTTCTGATTAAAGAAATTATAGCAACGATCAACTTCCGTAACACCCGTCACTGACTACATCCTCCTCTCAGCATATTTTTTTATTTAAATTTCTTCTTTTATGTACTACCAATTCTCCTCAAAGACTGCTTATGATTCTGCCATAGAGCAAAGATATTTTGACTCTTATCTTCCTGTAGAAAATAAGATTATGAGCATCATTCTTAAACACTCTCTTGGAAAACAAGCCGTGTTCTATTTGTACACCCAAAACAAAAAACATTATCTAAAACTTACAAAACCAGACATGTTAATGATGCATTTCATGTTAAAGAAATATGTATGGATTCTTATGATCTTTATCTCCTATCAGGGAAATATATCGTAATGCTTTCAATGTGAAAGCTTCAGGACTTTGTAGAAAGGAGACACTCCACAAATTGCTGCTAAATCTTAATTATGTCCTCATCAGTTATCCTGAAAGGCCAGACAATCGTCCACTCATTTAATTAGTCTTTAAATCTTTTGTACCTCTTTGTAGGGACTGGCTTTGTTTCCAACTGAATTGGATTAAATCAGCTAAAATGCTTCCCTCAAAGATGGATTACAGAAGGATTGAAGTGGACAGCAGCTCCTGTCGGAGCTGGTGACAGTTTGCTCATTTTCACTTACTTTTGCACTACATCTTTTCAACCCAAAATAAATAAATGATAGAAATAATAAAGGCAGTTGTAATACCAGCCTACATCTGTCCTGTTAAAGGATAGATTTAAAAATTCTCTTGTGTATAGAGCAACAAATTAATGAATTTGAGTTTTAGCGGAACACACACCCCTCAGGTACTTTAAATTAGTGTGGATAAAAAATAAGCATGCTGTTTTTAGCTAATTATGCCTCCCACTTCTGAAAAGTAGTTCCTCAACACCTGAGGTCAAAACTGTCAGTTTGGAAAACTGACGTGTTTTGCACACTTTAGTTGGAACCCACTGTCATTTAAAGAAAAGTTTTACTTGGAACTACAGTATTTGATATATGTATATACACAAACCTATAAAATAACTGCATACCTGACATGCTTTTAAACATTTCAGCCAAAGAATTCTCTGAATGGTGTGGCTGCATATAACTTAATACAATATTTAATGAATTAAATACTTGAATTGCGGGGGATTTGCAGCACAATGGTGTGTCAATGCCGTGCTTTAGTCAGACTAATGCAAAAACTAACACACAAAGCTTAAACAGTGTTTTCATTGCATTTGCTGTGTTGCATATTTGGAAACTTAAAATAGTGAACTACCTGTCCTCTACACTCTAATTCTTCTCACAGATAGATAAACTGAAAAATCTGCACTACTTTATCCGCTTCTCATAACATTGTTTACGCTTTCCTAATGGTTTCATCTGAGAGAAGTATTGATTATTCCTTTAAGCCAGACTGTCGTCCAACTGTAGCTGCAAGAGTGTGTATGTGGTGTAAAGTGGATATTACCATAGGTAATGACCCAAAGTCTGTCAGTAATCTCCCCTCCAAGAAAAAGTTGGCAATAAAAAAGAAAAGTCCCCGTCCATTCTGTTACTTCCAGACAACTGACAGAGTGCAAGGGCCTTTACTCAAACCCCCCACCCCCCCAAAAAAATACGATAAGTAGCTGATATTTTTTCTGTATCAATGTATCTATTTTTTCAATTGCCTTTAGTCAGTTATTTCAATAAATTGGAAAAATGAATAGTTTGATGATTAGACTTTTAGGCTAAGTCAATCTGGTTGGAAATGCAAATTTTACATAGAAATTTTACTATTGAAAAGCAAGTTATATTCCAAACTAACTCTAAAAGAGCTCCAGCTTTATTTTAAATGCTTCATAGATTTATGGGGTGCTGGTATACCACAGTCCTGTAGTTGTCCTGTTTAACCCTGTAATGCCAAATGTGTCATATTTTATACATACATACATACTTTTGCATAATGTAATGGTAAAAACTTTGCTCAAAATCCTATTTTACACAATCAGATATACCTGATAACAGGGGGCAGATGAGTACACAAAAAATAATCTTGACTTATCGCATAGTAATAAATGATTAATATTAAAAATGTATTTCTGTTTTTTCTTTTTACATATTTTGTTAAAAGGCCAAATAAGGATATCAAACAAAAAAAAAGTCATTTTCTGTTTTGTTTTATTCTTGGATCAGGCTTTAAAGGGCTAAAACTCTGCTTCAGAGAGGTGAAACACTGCATCTGCTGTAGAAAAAACAACTTTCTAAAGTCAACAAACTCCTGACCTATCAGAGAGAGCTGTTTGGAGGAACTGGGCTGCAGATCCATGCCGTTCTTCAGCCAGAGGAGTTTTGGATTGGGGATGCCGTCGGCATGGCAGTGGAGGCTGGCGCACACGCCGGGCTCCTGGGCCTGCGTCTCCGGGTAGACCAGGATCACCGGAGGGACTGGACACATGAAAAAAAAAACCCAAGACGCAAACATGGACAGAGGTAGGCAGGCGAAGTGAAAAACATAATCATGCGCCGGTTCATAGGAGATTGTTACTCCTGGGGGGGGGAGATGGAACACAAACACCCACACACACGCGCAGCGGGGCAAAGAGGAATTTGTATGGAATATATGCACAAATAACAGGGATCCAAGAGCTCTGGGGCTCCTGAACCAGAGCTCTAGCCCTGCATGAAATAGATGTTAGACCTACTGTATCTGCCACTTACTGCTACTCCTCTGGGGAGAGGAATGTGAATGACTGCTGGGGAATATTGGGGAAAATTAAATGTGAGGCAATAGTTATATGAGCAGGAGCATACTGAATTCCCGTCTTTGTAACTTCATAACAACACCATAATGTAGAGTTGCTCATCATATTTCTGTCTTTTTTTCTTTTACTTTACTGCCCTGATTTGGCCAATAGTTATTTTAAATAAAATCATTACTTGCTGATAGTAGCAAAAATATAGTTAATTATACAGTGGTGCACAATAGTCCTCTCTACCATTTTCTTTAGAGTTTGTCTCCAAACAGCCAGACTAATATTTCAATCTAAAATTAAATAAGTATGTAAAGATGAAAACTATGTGATTCGATTTTGGGTGAAACAGAAAGCATCCAACATCTTAAGGAGAACTTTAGGATGTTTTTCAAGACATTGATTACTTGAAGAAAGGATTAAAAAAGTTTGCGTATGTTGGATGCTTCAGAGTCGTGTCATGGTAGAAGGGTTTTGGGTTCAATTCCTGGTCTGGTGGGGACCTTTCTGTGAGGGACTTGTGCATGTGCTCCCCACCTATGCTTGGGTTCATAAAATAATTGACTTTCAACCTCATTAAGACTGTATGAAATCTGTTAATCCGACATGTTTTGTATTTTCACTTAAGGGGCTATAAATGTTTAAATAAATAACAACAGCTACAGTATTTCCCATTTCAAACCATATATAAAGGATATATTAAGACATGTATGAAAATTGGTCACAGGCTCAGGTGTTTTGACTGGTTGGCCTTTTACCAAAGTTTTCTATTTTCCATTGAATTCTGCTTTATATTTGTTCTTTATTTTCAGTGGAATATTCTGTATACTCCGTTCAAAGAAATGTACTGCCCCAACAAACGTCTTTTTTAACTTGAACTTTTGATTTTTAACTTTATTAAAGAAGCGTGACTTATTCAGAAAAGACAGAACAGTTAAGGATTAAAGTAATGATTAGTAAATTGATTTTAAATAACTTTTTACGTTGCTGCTCTTTTATTTTCTAAAGATTTTTGTCAACACCTTAACCAAAAACAGTGCAGTATGTACAAGAAATATTCCACATCACTGTAAAACTCTGTCTGTGTTTACGCTGTGTTTCCAACACATTTAGAAAAAACACTTACATCATACTCTAAGGTATCACGGTACTATAGACAAGTATCGTTATATTGCAACATCGGGTGCTTACACTGTGCTGAAGCTGCAACATTTTGAATTTCTCCCAGCACAGCATAGGAAAGATGATGTTACTATAATAGTATAATGAGAGGCAAACTGCCCACTAAGTATAATGTAGTACCTGCTGCCACTTTATTCAACCCTATCTCACTTCACCATGCCTGATTTGAAATACACTGAATAAAAAAAAACATAAAAACGAAGTCTGTGAAAGCCAAATCAGCCTCATGCTGATTCGGCTTTCACCTACTTCTTTCTGTCTGCTTTGCTTCTATTACATCATATGACGTCCACTTTAATATTCAAATCCCATTTCATTTCCTTGTAATTAGTGGGGCAGAGAAGAAGTGACGACTTCATTAAACGAGATTCAATCAATTCTGATTTCTTTTATCCTACAGGTGAAGGTAGGATTATTTTTTACCCTTTTCTTTTTATTCGTAAAGATTCGCTGTAAGAACTCTCAAGACTAAAGAAGGTAGAGATGACTGACCTAATTGAAGGGGATTAATACAATCAATCTGTGCCAGTCGGTGTTTCGATTCAATTTAATTTATATAGCGCCAAATCACAGAAACAGTTATGTCACAGCGGTTTGCAAAAAGAGCAGGTCAGACCGTACTCTTAAGTTATTCACAGAAGCCCAACAATTATGTGAGTAGAGTTTTACTAATCTCCCCAGAATCAAATGAAGTCACATCTCATGTCCAGCTTATTCATAAATGTTGTTTGCCATGGCAAGATATTTTAATTTTTTTGACATCCCCTACCTGTGAAATTACTGTACAAACATCACTGCTTAGTTCTTGATACTTACCAGTGGGGAAGCTTACATTTTTAATGGTTAAAAATAACCCAGAAGCCATTATTTTCTCTTAATTGTTTAGAAACGAGGGCAAATATGACTGTGGTTGGATGACCTAGTATAACCTATTAAGATGAAATATGACATTTGGGTTTTTAATGCTTGCTCAATCACATTTTCACGCTAACTGTAAAGTTAAATTTCATTTCTTTCAAAAAGAGTGACAGAGACAAAACAGGCTACATGAAGAAAACTGACAGTTTAACCAGTGATGTGATCCTCATGGATCCACATCTTTAACATTCCATGTACACACTGCAACTTATTTGACGTGTTTTTAAAATAGAGTAACAAATATATCACGCAAATATCATGCAAAAACTTGACAATCTGTAATTCCTGTACAATGACCAAAAGCAAAGGGCTCTTAATCTGCAACCGTCAGTGCAAGAGCAGAAGAAAGTAACTTGAAAATGGAGACAACAAAACAAAACAAAATTAAAAAAACTCTACGCCTCTTAAGTAGCTCTACTGTCTGTAGAGAGCAGAAATCTTAAATTCGACCAATCATCTCATTGTAAGGAAAACTCTGCTCTTATTTCAGGTGAATTGATCTTCATCTCTATCAACTATGCAGTAAATTCTCATTTCAAATGATCTTCTATCAATATCAACCACCACTTGCTAACATTGGAATCCACGATGCAAATAAAAGGATTTGGGGATGACCCAACGGTGACCAACTGTTATCAATAAATTGTGTTCTAATTTTTACCCCATTAAGGGAAGGAAAATCAAAAAGTTCTGCTACAACAAACTGAACATTACTGACCCTTTATGCACAAACAATCTGCAACCACCACGAGGTAGACATCAACCTGGTTAATGATATGTATCCATCGAGAGAATTGAAGGACTTCCTTTAATTTGTCGTTACTGGAAATAATTCTATATATCTCAGATTGTATTTTTCAAGATCAAACTTCAGAAAAGATCAGCTCCACACTTCCCAAACGGCTCATGTGACTAAAACATTTACAGAGTATCGATATGTCCAGATATAAAACAAAACAAAACAATACAATAGTTTTTCATCCAACTTTTTCTACTAACTCCAACTCGTCCCAAAGGCTGAATATCTACAGACCTGTCAATGTATTTGATCTTCATTTAAGGCCCAGCAGACAGTGAAAAAGCATAAAACATCAGACCGAGTAATGAAAGAGTGGCACAAATCAACTAAAACATTTCTAATAATTCTTCTTCTGTAAGTAAAAAAAACGAATCACTACTGACCATTCACCTGCAGCACATGTGTCTGATAGAGGTCCTCGTAGCCGTAGGCATGGCAACTGTAGTTCCCCATGTGGATTGTTGTCACCTTGGTAATGTACAGGGAGCCATCATCCCCAAAGTCCTGTCATATAGGAGAAAAAAAAGCATTATGTAAAGAGAGAAGAGGCTATAGTGGCAAGAAAGGAAGAGGAGAAGTGAAGATGAAAAATAAAAAAGAGGCGCAAGAGATGTACAAGTGGAAATAGTGGTGCCCAAAGCATCCGGAGGGAGTTGAGACTAAAATGGAAGGGGCTTGATAGAATACATAACTGTGCTTGAGAGCGAGCGGATAGAGGAGGAGGACACCCAGCAGCAGGGGATGATGGGATGAGACAGGAGAGAAAAAGAGTGATGGGAAAAGGAGGAGAGACCATGAATCAAAAGGTCTCCCCGTTGAGCTTAAAGCAGGCGTTGGGGGAATTTGATCCTCCTCTCTCTCCCCCTCTCACCGCACTGCTTCAGCCTGATAAATGGCAAGGGTTAAAAATATAAAGCCCATTAGGTTGATGAATGGAGCCGGTTGTTGTTTGGTGCGGCAATCACCGGGGGGGGGGGGGGGGGGGGGTTTCCAGACACAAGCTTAGGGTGGATTAAGGCATTAAATAGTCGCCGTCCCACCAAGTGGCGGAGCTCAAGTCTGACGCAGCTTTGTCATGACATTTAAACCACAAAAAACAACAGCTTTGTTGCCCCGAAGGCTCCAGAAATTAATGGGACTCGACCGGGAGTCACTTTACGATGAGGATAATGCAAAAGGGTCTTTTTTTTTTTTAAAGATAGATGAGGAAACTGAGGTGGTCAAAGTTTGGGATATACAATGGATGTGATGGAAATAGATACACAGACAAGGACATCAGTTTTGTAATCTAATCTGGCAAGGACAGATGTGTAGTATCAACAGCTGTAAGACTGATATGAAGGCTTGTCTCTTTCTGATTGGTTGGACATATTTATTGGAAATAGAATATTTTAACCCTGTAATGCCAAACGTATCATATTTCTCAAATGTTTTGCGTCTGACACCTTTTGCTTAATTTAATGGTAAAAACTTTGCTCAAAATCCTATTATACACAATCAGATATACCTGATAACAGGGGGCAGAAGACTACACAAAAAATAATCTTGACTTATCGCATAGTAATAAATTAGCAATATTAAAAATGTATTTTTGTTTTTTTCTTTTTACATATTTAGTTAAAAGGCCAAATAAGGAATTCAAACAAAAAAAAAAGGAATTTTCTGTTTTGTTTTATTCTTGGATCAGGCTTTAAAGGGTTAAATGGCTAAACTAAAATGGAAGGAAGAGGATTTTTGCCTAGTAAAATGCTGTGATGATACACTGATCTTAAGATGGAAAAAAGCCAAGGCAAACAATTTGTTTCTGCTATAGTGAGAAAATTGGACAAATTATACACAAAACTTAAATCATCAGCTAAAACCTTTCTTTCAGATTCAAAACTTAATTACCTCTGGCTGACCCATTTTTTCAAAATGATCATTATTTGTTTAACTTCCACAGAGTGGTACTGACAGAGTAAACATCTGTTTGCATTTATACATATTTATCACGTCTGCAATTCAAAGCAGTTATGATGAAAGCATAACAGCAGAGAAGAGGACGGGGGGGGGGGGGGTGAAAAGGCTCAGGACAGGGGCGGAGGGTGGCAGAAACCTCAGAAACCTCAGCCACTTTTAAACGAAACCTTCTGAGAAAAATAGCACTCTGAAAAAGGCTTTTGATAGGACAATATGACCCCTCCCTCCTCTTATTCTGTCACCTCTTTGAAGCTGTTCCGAGACTTCTAAGTCAACCTAAAAAAAAGCTGTGAAAAAGTCAAGATAGAAAAGAAGGAAACGTTTTTTTTTTTCTTGTTTTTTTTTTATATGTCCGACACAGTCTTCTTCACTTTACGTCTCTGTAGTTTTGCTGTCTTTTGTGATTTTAAGAGATGAGTTCACCAGAGCAGCTTTTCTGTCGTTTTCAGTGGGTGGCAGGTCTTTATCTTTATCGTTTTAGAGAAACACGTTGTGTGTTTGTGCAAGCCTGTTCACAACCAATAGGCTGCCATGTTGCCGCGTAATGCAACTAGCTGCTATTTTACAGCACGGAATAAGAAATTCAATTATTCTTCAAGTTTACTTACTAAGCGCCGCTAAACACAAGTACAACCTCAAAATATGGATTTTCTTACAATGAGGACAAAGGTAGACAAAAGCCTTGGTGTCTTTTGTGTAGCGAGGTGTTAGCGCATGAAAATATGAAATGGTCAAGTTTTAAGCACCATTTGGGAATAAAAAAAAAACTTTTCTTGATAACAAAGGGAATCAGCCTGTGGAGCTGCCATGTGGCTGCACCTAAAAAAGGAAATTTGCAGAGATTGTTCTCCCATTCTCTACGTATGATGTCCATGTCGCATCTTGATTATAACCTTTTTTTGTATTTACTGATGAATTAAAAAGAAGATAACACAATTTTGTATACTTAAAGCTTTTTGAATCGTCCTTTTTGTTTAATTCAACTTGAGTTTGTGGTGAGAAACTGTGATATTATGTGTCATAGATTCATAAAGTATTCCAAGATAATTGTATCACATTTAATTTGAAATCTAATTAAAGACAGATTAAGGGCAAATATTTCTTATTTGTTAATTACGTTTTATATCATATGTTTCACACGTGGACCGACTGAGACTGAGAATGAATGTTCCAGAAATATTTTTAATTGATTTGGCAGTTTTATGTTTAAAGTTCGATCAAGTGACTGAATAATTTTACTAGTAGTTGTTATATTCAGTGATTGGTTAATCAGCAACGCTATTTCTTTCTTAGTTCATTTAGACTTTAGAGCTACTCAGTTACTTATTTCATGTTTGTGCGTGTAAGAGCTGCCATATGCTCTGTACATCTGCACTTAAATCAGCTAACTATCTGTTTTATTTCCTTATTTAGAGAAGACATCACTATATACAATAAAAACAATAATTATATCCACATTTACTTATGCTCTTGAATTATGTACAACAGTTCCTGTATGTTCACAGTGAGAGATCGATCATGATTTGTAACAGTTACTATTCAAACTGAAACTCTAATATAATATGACAGCTATGAAACTCTATTTCACAAAAACATCTTAGACATAATTGCATTTTCTCAATGATCATTATGTGACATGTCCCATACTCATGATGAAAATGATGGTTTATTTCTTTTCATTTTTCTTCTCCTTATGATAACTTAACATCGGGACTTTTTTGTATAAGATTAAACTTTCCAACCTCACCAAGTCACCGACCCCATTACAATAGATTTGCGTGATAATTCAAATTAGCTGAGTTTCCCTGTTTCTGCCATTGAAACACGGTAGTACACTGAGGCTATCTGTGTCGCTAATTTAGCCGTTGCTCCGTTTCTTTTGATTTGCCAGCATGAAAAGAAAAGCCAAAACGCAGCAGGTACTCCTCTCTGGCTGGTCTGCACAGATCACCGAGCTCTGTGAAAATCCATTACGTTGCGGTCAAGAGCCCGGGGGACCTCTGTTACCGTCGCCCCTCCACCTTAACGCTTCACGTTGTTTATCAGCTCATCAAAACAGCACACCAAACAAGGCCGCTCGTTAACATGCAATTAGTAAATTGTGATCTGGCGCTAGATAAAGCAGAAAATGGCGATGAGCTGTCACCTGCTCAGATGTGTCCGAACCGGAGCACGGCTGCATAGGTCATTAGGCACTGGACGATCATTAATTGTCCCGTTTTTTGGACAGTAACGCAGAGGCATTGTTCCTCGGCTTTAATCTTTTCTTTGTCCGGCTCTAATCTTGTAGCTCGTCTCCAGTCAATAGACTGCTAAGCAGAGTTAGAAAAGTAAAAGGTTTAGCATTTAAAAATCTAATAAAGGCGAGGAAAGATGTTTCTAAATAATATGAGTTCCACAGAAACGATACACAGAGCTCTTAACAGCTCAAATGAGCATTGTGGTGTTCAACCTTGAACAACGGTGCTAATTTTTGGTTTTAGATCAGTGTGAAAAGCTCCCACTGTGCCCACTTGCTGCTTTAAGTTAGCAGCTATTAATAAGAGTGAAAATTTGTATCAACTAAAGGGGCTGTACCTGTGTTTTCACTGATGTAAAGGTTACAAATCATTTTAATGATACAGTTTAAAGCGTAAAGACACAATTATCTTTTTATTTAAAAGTGAAAAAATTGGTGAATACAACCTTACACGAACAACAAAAACACATTGTTTTATACCTTTTTCCCATCTATAAAAGGCATTGTGTGAGGAATATGAATATATAGCTCTTTAGATTCTTAAACCACAACAACTTGCAGATATTTGCTTTCTGTATGAAGTCATTTTTCACTCACATTGTGAGTTGTCTTGTAGTGTGACGTGATTTTGGCTATATGTTGTCCAGGTCCTGTGGCTGCAAAACCCAAATTATGGACATTATGTTCATGCTGCTGTGCAGTATAACCAAATGTGTTTAATTTAGTCTCAGCTGACTGTTTCAAAGCTCTTGAGTTTTATTCAAGTGCAACTTTGCTAACTTGTTGTTTCTTAGATAGCGGATGATTTTTCTTAATGCGTAATTCTGTTCAGACAGGTTTGTTTCATGATTTTAGTGTTATGTATTAACATTTAAAATGCCAACTAAGGCATATAGAGTCTTAGATGTAACTTTAAAGTTCTTTTTCAATGTCTTTGCACAGTCTTAACTTGGAGTGACCTTGTTTGGATGTCCACTGCTGGGATGACAGGAGCAGTCTTGAATTTTTTCCAGAAGTAAATGCATTTTCTCTCTGTACAGCGATGACCTCAAAACTAAACAGCTTAGGATTCACCTTATAGTCACTTAAAATTGACAGGCATCAACTATTGCTTTTACAGGATCACTGCTGGTGCCTTTCATTCTTGACAACTTATTAACACACATGCGAATGTTCCAAACACGAATACGGGCAAAACTTTTACGTATTACTTAAAATGTCGTTTTTCTTACATCTCGTCTATATGTGGATGTATCACACACTTTATTTATTATATGTCAATGGATGTATTTATCTGATTTTAAGTTTTTATGTGAACCTGAGGTAGGTCATTTTCCTGAGAAGAGATCTATCCAATTAATTATTGGTTTGGCTCTCTATCTTTAGGGTTTATAATTAAATTATATGATTTATATATATATATATCTTAACCTTTTAAAGCCTGATCCAAGAAAAAAACGCACAGAATTTTTTTTTTTTGGGTTTGAGTTCCTTATTTGGCCTTTTAACAAAATATGTAAAAAGAAAAAACAGAAATACATTTTCAATATTTAATTTATTACTAGGCGATAAGTCAAGATTATTTTTTGTATTCTTGTTATCAGGTGTATCTGATTGTGTATGATAGGATTTTGAGCAAAGTTTTTTACCATTAAATTATGCAAAAGGTGTCAGACGCAAAACATTTCAGAAATCGTATGTATCAAACATGATACATTTGGCATTACAGGGTTAAATAATCGTTCATTTTTAGTGACGCTAGTGATGATGAATGGTATGGACATTCATTGTTAATGTTTTTTTGCACTTACGTTGATGTCCTCCAGGTCCAGGAAGTTTAATATGATGCCGTTTCTCTTCCAGATGATTGGCGGGCGCAGCGTTCCCTGGATGGCACAGGTGAGGACGGCACTCAGGCCCACCGTTACCGTGGAGACGCTGATTCGCTGGTCCTCTGCTAGACTCAGCTGGACAACCTCTGTCAGGGTGAGAGCATGGAGGGAATTGGATTGGTGGAGAGATTGAATGGGTGACAGAGGAAGAGAGAGAGAGAAGGGCAACATTGTAAGAAAACGATTGAGGGAAAAACTCCGAGCTGGTTTCAGTGGGACATAAAAAAATCTGAATGAGTTTGCCGAAACTGGACCTCAGCTTGATACATTTCGAAGCATTGGACCCTTTACTGGTGGAGCGGAGAGGATAAACAGCTGTCCGGAAGTGAAGGATAACCCTTGTCAGAGTCACAGGAAAGACTGCAAGCCAAATCCCTTCTCATTCGAAGGGAATTTATGTTAATTGAAATGGCCATTCGGTTCAATTAGACTTAACAGGAAATTAAGAATTATCCCTCACACTTCCCTGTTGGAACCATAAAAGATCTACACGGCCAGAGTTATGGTCTGAAACTAAGGAATGTGTACTTTGTAATAGGGCGCTTTATGTGCTGTAGCCTGGCATCGATTCCCACTTTTATACCTTCCACACAAACTTTGATTCTTTTTCTTCCTCCCAATCCTCACCAGATTCTCTTTCTATGCAGTGTTTTGCGCAGATATGCGGGTAAAACCGGAGCTACGTGCTGATGTCAGTAGGATACTGCGCACGGCGAGCTGCCATTGACAAGATTCATGTCAGTGTTTAACCTTGTGTCAATATAAGCCTGGGGTTCAGGGTATACTCAGTATATGAATAAATAAAGAAACCGTCTAATGGAAATCTGTATGCTAGGCTGTAACCACTGCTACAGTCTTAGGGCTGGACATTCTTGCAAGAAGGAACCTTTGCTGTAAAGGTTACTAAAACAAAAAGGTTTTGACAAGAAGAGAAATGTTAAATATGACTGGAACTTTAAAAATACAATGCTTTCTCTGAAATTCTTATCACAATCTCATTATTTCAATTAATGCGAGAATAAGTTTCCATTTTGTTGTGCAATAATTGTACTTATCCAGGTAAAAACAGAGAAATGCTTTAATTTTCAAGCCAGGTTTTCACTTATGACGATATCATAATGACCAGAAAAGAATTAAAGAAGGGAGTTGGGAAAGATCACAGACTGAGAACCTGAGTTCTGATTTTTCATTGCCTTGTTGACCTTTTCCCATGCTCACGAGAAACATTAGTTCCCTGTTTAATTGGGTGTTAGGAAAAGACCATGGTTTGGTTTAATAATTCACAGGTTCACAGAGGCCATTTGGATACCGTCAAAACAAACAGACTTACCTAACCTCGAACCTTTAAGATTTTTTAATGTTAAAAACTGATGCTAAAAGTCACTCAGTGTGGAGTATAAAGTGGTCCCGACCAAACAAAATCAAACCACCCTTGTCTTGAATTATGAAAGAGAATTAAGAAAGAAATTTGGAGCTGAAAGAAAAATCTCAAACAAAAAATGTGGGAAAAAAACAAATGTATTAAAACAAAAAAATCTATCTTGAATGTCAGATTACTTCTAACTTTGTCAGCGACTGATAAAAAAAAAGTCTGAAACTTTTAACTAGTTTCTGAAATGGTAAAATAAGCAAAAACACGACGAATCTACAAAAAAAAAAAGTGACATCGCTCCGAAGTACCAGATGAAAAATCTGATTTGAAGAATTGATCTGCTGGTACATTTGTCATGCATCTTCCACGCTTTTATTACTGTCTGACATGTTTTATGCTTCTTTAACCTCCATTCAATCTTTTGTAACTGGTAATTTGACAAAGGACAATTTCTTATACAGGACTTGGCGGTTTATGACTGGAAAGCAGTGATAAGACAAATATCAGAAGTGTTTTTCATTTCCCTACCCACAGGAGACAATTTTTTTTTTATCGCCCAAACAGACTTTAAGCAAACAGGGAACAGACTGAAAGCGTTCGTGGGAAGCTTCCTGTCTCAACGCGGACTTTGACAAACGCTGTTGTAAAAGACTCCGGGATATTAGCTGTCTGTTTCACAAAGCTGTCCCGGTGATATAGATATATCTGCGGTGACAGCCGGGTCTACCTGTGATATTTCAGAATTCCTTTCGGTTTACGGTACAGTCCGAAAAAAAAGTCATAATTCAGCTTGTCAGTAATTTGGGTGGCGGGACAGAGTTTGAGTGCCACGTGGACAGATGAGAGATGAAGTGCATTGATCCAACAGTTTTAGGCAGCACTGGGAATTTAAACGAGACCGCCGTTCAAGTCGAATTTAATACAGAACATGTAAGCAGTGGACAGACCTCTGTCCATTGCGAAGTCAGCCGCAGTTGACTGTTCAGATGGACATGTAACACCACTTTGTATTGATTGTTTTAAGAAAATGAGGAAGGCTACGGCTTAAAAGTCTTCCAGTGTCGAAAATCACTTCAAAGTTCAGCTACAATTAGTAGACCCTGGAAGATAAACCAATCAAGGGTGGAGAGGCTATGTTAACTGGTACAACTGATTTATGTATGTATGGTGGAGAACAAAGAAGAATCCAAGGGAATCCAGTGGAATTCCAAAACAAATTATTGTTGGAGAGCAAATAATTTAAAAAAGATAAAAAAAAGATGGAAAAGCAAGGCACTGCTCATACCACATAGTTACATTTTTAGGACAAGTAAAATAGACTTGTGATATTCAGATAGCCTTATTTTTTATCTGTATTTAATCAAGATTTCAGTTTCAATTCATAGTAAGACATTTTTTCCATTCAGTCAGAAACAGCGTTTCACCCAAATTTTAGAAGTAATTTCATCAACTGTCTGTGAAGGATAAAAATGTTATTCATGAAAGTTCTGTAAAAATAATCCTTTCAAATTAAACTTAACCAACTAGTCTTTCGTTCGTGAACCAACCAAAAATAATTTAACAATCTAAAACCAGCAAAAAGCGTACTGCAAAGCGCAAGTCAGTAAAGGTGATGGTGAAAAAGAATGCATTCTAGTTCAAACCAAGATTATTTTCAAAACCCAACAAGTGAGTAATATTTTACTAGCCAAACTGGGAAGCAACGAAGATTAATTTAACGGAATTTAACGGAAACCAAAAAGATATTTTTCAATTGCCTTTCTCTTTCATGCATCACTCAAATTATTTTGAGCATTTAAGAAATAGTCTTGGTATTATAATCAGGTATTATTATTATTATTATTATTATTATTATTATTATTATTATTATTA